ATATAATATATACTATATATAATAATATATATATATATATATATATATGTATATATTATTATATATATATATATATATATATATTATAATGAAAATGATGATCACTGACTATGCCAGTAGTGCCAATTTCGTGTATAGACACAACTAGCCATAAATTATGTACATGATGCTGGCTACAAATAAACCATTGCCAGGAAGAGATTGAGTGTCCAGACGATCTTAGTAACGCCTCGCCCGCGAGGATCGAACCTCTCTCTACACGGGCATGGGATATACCACGACCGTAGTAGACTACAAATACAGCATAGAACTAAGAAGGGCGCCTACTTATCCATCACTGAAGTTCCAGTGATTGACATTGTGTGCGCGGTAGTACATAGATGTACAGGCACAAACATGGCTTGTCTAGGGCTCAATGCGCCATGCACCATACCGTATTTACAGAGCAAATCGGCCGCTGACAAATCACCGAATGTGTTGAACACTTCCTCCCCTTTCTGCACGTCCTGGACAGTCCTGCGTTTGTCAACAATACCAATAGTGGCCAATTAGAGAGGATCAAAGCATCCGATTCAGTGCGACCTTACGTCCGGAATCCCGACTGCATATTGTCAATTGACTTTCTTCGCAAGTCACGCATGACATCGGTAACAACAACTAATGCATGTAGACGGACTACATATTTTTGTTCACGCGTTACAAACTATATTAATACACATAGACGTACACATTCCCGGCCTTATGTCTGTCAACCACTACTGTAAACACCCAGTTGTAGTACAAAATAAAACCCCCGCTTATGCAGTATGCTATGCTAATCTGCATCCCAATAATTGACTCGCATAAACTATACATATGGCATGCCACTCCAACCTGTAGATTCACATCGTGGTTCATCCGCTCACACAGTATGTTATGCTAATCTGCATCCCGAAAACTGTCCAATCAGATACTGCGCTGTGGACGCGACATTATTTTCCTATGACTTTTCAATCTACTCCCCAAAGTGTACCCATCTACAGGCCATGCTGCATTCACCGACATGTCGTGCTACACCCACCTACTCTTCTCACTATCTATATAACCACGTCCTGATATGCTGGTCTGTACGCCGGAAATACATGCTATTGTTCTCTACATGACACAGCTAAATTCACTCAAAACTAGCTGAAGCAAAGCTCCACGTATTCAGAATGTGCCTGCCTGATACACACGTGTGCTATGGCATTTCCGGCTACGAAGCATTTTCCAGCCCACATAAAACTAGCTATGCCAAAGTTACCTAAACTTCCCAGTCTACCTGCATTTTGAGTTTAATCCACCTGATGTCGAGGCGTACTACGGTTTTTTCACCTACGAAGCAGATTCCAGTACACAGAAACATAACTATGCCAAGGCTACCTACCCTTTCAGTCTACCTACACTTTTTACCTACCTGATGTCGAGGCGTTCCTCTGCATTGGCAGCACCGCTGGCGTTTGAACCGTCGCCAGTGATGTCGTCTTCGATGTGCACATGCTCCCCACCCGATCGGTGATTAAACCTAATACACATTTTTATAATGATAGCTTCAATGAATATTCTAAAATACATTGGATTATGACAAATTCAATGAATATTCTAAAATACATTGAAATATGACAGATTCAATGAATATTGAAACAAAACAACATTGGAATATGACAGCTCTAATAAGTATCAAACCAAAAGTACATTGGAACAAGACAGCCTAAAAAAAAATTGAAACTAAACTACATTGGAATATAATAGCTCCAATAGGTATTAAACCTGAGATACATGAGAATATGATAGCTTTATAAAGTATACATATATAT